TCCTTCAAGATCAAGCCCCAACGGCCCTTGAAGAACTCCCACCAACTCAAGATCAAGCCCCGACGGCCCCTTGAAGAAAGTGTTCATCATTCATCATTCATCATCTGTTCATCCTAAGATCAAGCCCCAACGGCCCTTTGGATTAACAACCTCAACAAATCCACACATCTAATCGTTCTTCAAGACTAAGCCCAAAAGCTTTGAAGATCTGCTCATCCATCAACCTTCAAGATCAAGCCCAAAAGCCCTTGAAGAAATTCATACACCCATTCTTCAAGATCAAGCCCAAAAGCCTTGAAGATCCGTTCATCAACTGTTCATCCTAAGATCAAGCCCCAACGGCCCTTTGGATCAACAACCTCAACAAACCCATACACCCATTCTTCAAGATCAAGCCCAACGCCCCTTGAAGATCCGTTCATCAACTGTTCATCCTTAGATCAAGCCCCGACGGCCCTTTGGATCAACAACTCATCCACAAACCTACACCCTACGAAGATAGAATCAGAGGACCAAATTTGAAAGAGATCGTAACCCCAAAATCATTAAACACAAAAATATTATTTTGTACACGTTATTCTTGTTTCTTGTTTCAAGGAATCTTTCGTGTTCACATACCCCCATCATCTCACCAAGTTCTTATGCAGTCATCAATAAAGGGCAACCTGTAGCTTTTCTTGGAAAACAAATTACAATCAGTATTTGGCATAAGAGACTAGGTCATCCCTCTAATCCAATAGTCTCTCAAGTTTTAAGAACTTCAAATGTCTCTTGTGTTGCTAATAGTATACATTCATTGTGTCAAACATGTGTAGAGGGTAAATTTAATAAACTATCATTTTATCTTTCAATTACTAAGTGTGTAAAACCATTTGATATTGTACATAGTGATATGTGGGGCCCTGTTCCTTGTGTATCTTTACAAGGATTCAAATACCATATGACCTTCAATGATCATTGTATCAAGTATTGTTGGATTTTTCCCATATGCAATAAAAGTAATGTTTCTGCAACATTTGTTTTCTTTTACAATTTCATTTTAATACAGTTTCATACATCCATAAAAAACTCTCTAAAGTGATGATGGTGGTGAATATATAAGTAAAGTATTTCAAAAGTTTCTTTCTGATAAAGGAGTGAGCCATCAAATGTTTTGTCCCCATACACCAAAACAAAATAGGATAGCAGAGAGAAAACACAGACATATCATTGAAACATCCATCACTTTGTTACAATCTGCTTCATTACCATCCTTGTTTTGGTCATTTGCTTATCAAACCTCAATATACTTAATCAACAAAACGCCATCCCCTAATTAGGCAATAAATCACCATTTGAATTGTTGTATAATTCATTACCTGAGATTCAACATTTGAATGTCTTCGGTTGTTCTTGTTACCCATTGGTTAAGACCATACAACAACACCAAATTAGAATCCAGAACAACAAAGTGTGTCTTTTAGGGGTATGCATCCAAGTATACAGGGTGTCTATGCTATGATGTATCTAGAAAGAAAATTTATATCTCTAGACATGTGATATTTGATGAGGTAGAATTTATTTACCAGTCTTTGGTTCCCAAACAACACTCTGTCACTACTTCACCACTACCATCACTCATACAAACACCAATTCCAACACCAGATCACAATAATGTCCTTGTTTTACCAGAAACACAAAATAGAAGATTCCACTTCAATATTGTTACAGTTCCAAGTTCAAATTCAGAAGATTCAAGTTACAGTCAATCCATTGTTGCACCAACAACACATCCCTTGTCTCCTACACTCTCTGTGGTACCTAAATTCTAACCTGAACAACTATAAGTGGTTTTATCTATTCCTCTAATCAATCTCCATCCCATGCAGACAAGGTCAAAGAGTGGCATCTCAAAGAAAATTACTCTACTAGCTGCCATACATGAAAATGGAGGAGTTGATTTGAATCAAGTAGAACCTGCAACATATAAATCTGCATTAAAATTCCCAGTGTGGTATGAGGCTATGAAAGATGAGATTTCAGCTTTACACAACCAAGGTACATGGTTATTGGCTCATCTACCACAACACAAGAACTTAGTAGGTTGTAAATGGGTCTTTAAGATCAAGAAGAATGCTGATGGTTCAATTGGGAGGTATAAGGCAAAACTGGTGGCTAAAGGACTTAATCAAGAAGAAGGTATTGATTATGGAGAGACTTTTAGCCCAACTGTTAAACATACAATAGCAAGATTAGTTATAGCTTTATCTGCACATTTTGGCTGGACATTGAGACAATTGGATATGAAAAATGCCTTTCTACATGACATCTTGCAAGAAGAGGTGTACATGGCACAACCACCTAGATTTGTGGATACCAAACATGGAGACTATGTTTGCAGATTACATAAATCCTTATATGGATTGAAATAGGCACCAAGGGCCTAGAATGAGAGATTCACTAGTTTTCTGCCAACTTTGGGGTTCAAATCTACATATGCAGATTTATCATTGTTTGTGAAACTGTTGGCAATTCTGTGGTGATCTTGCTATTATATGTTGATGACATCATTATAACATGAAGTGCAACATAAGCAGTCACTGAGGTTATTCAATCTCTCATTCAGTAAGTATGTCACATATTTGTTATCCAAGTCTGAAATGTTGCTGTCTAAATCATGTGTTCCTCTATGCTTGACTATAATAGATTGCTAAAAAATGATGGAAAACCTTATAATAACCCTGCATTATATAGAAGTTTGGTTGGTGCCCTCCAATACTTGACATTCACTAGACTTGACATTATTTTTGCAGTGCATCAGGTATGTCAATCTATGCAATGTCCTATGGAGTCACACTTTATGGCTGTTAAAAGAATTCTCAGATACTTAAGAGTTACTCAAGGTTGTGGAATTCATTATATCAATGGTTCACTGGATGTCACTACCTATAATGATGCAGATTGAGCAGAGGACCCTAATGATAGAAGATTAACTACTGGAATGGTTGTGTTTCTGGGGTCTAATCCTATTTCATGGTCATCTAAGAAACATAACATTGTTTCTCGATCATCAATTGAAGCTGAATATCAGGCTTTGTTAACTACAACAACTAAAATTGATTGGATCAAACAACTGTTGGTTTTTCTGCAGGTTCCAATTTTTTATAAACCACTCCTTTTTTGTGACAATTTATCAGCAATAGCTCTTACTTGCAATCCAATTCAACATCAACGCACTAAGCACATTGAGATTGATGTGCATTTTATTCGAGAAAGGGTAGCCAAACTGCAACTGCAACTGCATTTTGTGTCTTTAATGAACAATTTGTTGATATACTTACAAAATGACTCTCTGCACCACTATTTCAGACACATTGTGCCAATCTCAGGCTCAATTTTATGCTCCTGAGCTTGTAGGGGGATGTTAGGAGTATTAAGATCCAATGGTTATGGAATTGACATGTGTCAAGAGATTAAGAAGTTAGTTAAGTGTGTTGAAAATGTAGCTTATAGTGCAAGCTACTATAGCTATTATATATAGCTTGTAATAAACAGTTGTAACTAACAAGAAATATCAATACATTTTACAAAGATTCCTTCTCTCTCTAAACCCTCTCAATCTTCTTCCCTTCTACATAACAGTTCTTATCAAATCCTTCATTGGTTTACCCCTCCCCACCACTTAATCTATATAATATCGTTTGTTAAAAAATAAAAAATAAAAAAAAAAAGTCCAAACTATCACCCTTCCTTGGTCAATGGGAGAAAACTAGAGCATTAGAGAAATAAATAGAATGTTTGTAAGAGGAATGTTGACTGATAGGTAGAAATAATTGTATGAAAAGAATCCACTGTTATGGTGATGTCATGGATTATTGATAAAAAGAGGGTGTGGAGCAAATATAATGAATGACCTTGTATTAATAAATTGAGACATCACATTAAAGTGAGCCTGTTTTATGTAACCCGGCCTCTCTCTAAATCGACAGAAGAATGTACAGATTATTTGTTTTCCCTGCACTACATTGTGTGCATATTGTACGCTTTCATTACCAACGCCATTAAAACTAATTAATATTAGTATGTAGAGAATGTGCAAACAAAAATTTTAAATCTCTTCTGTGCTAACTTTTATTGGTCAATCGAAATATTCGGTACAAATTTGACTACACCCTTTTTCCTCCAATTTATCGAGACAATGGATATATGATTATGCAATAAAGACCACTTGCCTTGTCAATGCAATGTCTATATGGATAGAGTACCGACCAGGGCTGCTCCATATGATCGTTGCACTCTTGCAAGAGTGTGAGACCAAATGAAATCTGCACTGGAGGCCTCCAAGTCAATCGGTGCGTCTTTCCTTTTCCATTGTCTTCGTCTGCCCAAGACTTCCTCTATATATATGTAAATTAGTTATGTATTCAATTTTCTCGTGCTGTTGGTCTACTCCTCTTTCTGGATTTGGAGCAGATTGGGTGTAATCTTTTGTGCATCTATTGAAAAAGAAAAAAGAAAAAAAAAAGAGAGAGCGTTACAGATAAAAAAAAATCGAAAAGCTAATAACAATTCTTAATGTTAGTTTAAAGATATTTATATATATACACACACACGAGACATTTTTCCATGTGATCAAAATTTGAGTTAATACACTACATATCATAATAATAAGCGAAAAAGTAAAGGTTTTTTTCATTTTTTTTTCATATGTTCTTCCACTTGTATTTTAACATGTAATGTACCGACTCCTCAAAAATCTTTCCTACATGCACTGTATATTTACGAGGAGCCATGACGTACGTATAGTTTGACTCACCGCGCGGAAGGTCATATGGCGGCTGCTTTGGTTGCCATTGCTACTTGCTGCATTAGCTGTCAGCCTTGAGCTCCTCTCTTTCTCATTTTCCTATTGAAATTATAAACAAACAATCTGTATTCCATTATAAATTTCAATTGCAGTTTCTCTGCCCTCATCAATTCCTCAAAAGATTCACACTTCAACACTTCTCAAAAAGTCTCTAATGGCTTCCGCCACCGCAAAAGAAATAGCTTCAGAGCTCCTCCCTCTAATCAGAATATACAAAGACAGCACGGTGGAACGCCTCATGGGCTCTCCCTATGTGCCCCCATCTCCTCGTGATCCAGAAACCAACGTCTCCTCCAAAGACATCACCATCTCACAAAACCCTAGCATCTCCGCTCGCCTTTACCTCCCTCTTCAAAACCAAAATTACCAACACCCCCAAAATCCTATCCCCGTCTTGGTTTACTTCCACGGTGGTGGATTTTGCTTCGAATCCGCCTTCTCATCTGACCACCACCGTTTCCTCAACCGCTTGGTCTCGCAAGCCCAAGTCCTCGCCGTCTCAGTTGAGTACAGGCTCGCCCCAGAAAACCCAATTCCCATGTGTTACCAAGATTGCTGGGATGCTCTTCAATGGGTCTCTTCCCACAAACCCCACAAAGAATCAGATGCTAGCAATGCTGACAGAGAGCCATGGTTGGTCCAGTATGGTAATTTTGGTAAATTGTACATTGGTGGTGATAGTGCAGGTGGAAACATAGTGCATAACGTGGCTATGAAGGCAGGGTTTGAGAGTTTGTGTGGTGGGGTGAAAATTGTGGGGGCATTCATGTCACACCCTTACTTTTTAGGGTCAAGGCCAATTGGGTCAGAGCCTAAAGGAGAAAACTTTGAGAAGTGGCTGCCTTGTAAAGTTTGGAAGTTTTTGTTCCCATCAGCTCCTGGGGGTAACGATAATCAAATGGTCAATCCGGCAGGTGAAGGTGCACCGAGCCTGGCTGGACTCAGGTGCTCCCGACTGCTCGTATGCGTTTCTGGGAAGGATGAGCTGAGGGATCGAGGCATTTGGTATTACGATTTGGTGAGGAAAAGTGGGTGGGAGGGAGAGTTGGAGGTGTTTGAAATGAAAGGTGAGGAACATGCTTTTCATATCTTGTGTGAGGGTAAGGCTGAGAATGTGAAGATTATGATCAAACACTTGGCTTCTTTTCTTGTCTAGCTAGTAGTTTTATTAAGCACTGTGTAAACACGAAAATTTTGCCCACAAATGACAAGAGAACACGTGCATAAAGTAATTGTATTGTATTAATGAATTTGTAGGGTTACAATCTCTGTTTACAAGTTTCTTCTTATTTGATTTCCAGAAGATATGTAGATGTGTAGGTTGTTAATCCAAGGGTCGCGATGACTTGATCTAGAATGAACGGTTACCGCGAGGTTTTGGCTCTTGGCCGTATGAAGGATCGACACGGGTAGTAGTGCTTGATGATTCTTCGAAAGTTTAGTGAAGAACGCAAAGAGGTTTCTGAATTCTTCAAAGTATTTTGGGGATTTGGGTGCTTGAGCTTTAGCAGCGTATGGGTGCTTGAATGATTTCTGAACCCCTTTTCTTTGCCTTTGGGGCCTTGTAGTTATGAACTTTCCAAGTCTTGCCTATGGATGGATTTGTACTTGATTCGTGACTTGGTTCGTCATTTATTTCCATCAATCAATTATTTAATTTAAATAAAATCAAATAATCAATCTTACCCAATTTGGCATTTGTATTTGCTTTAATTTAAATTAATTAATTTGTTTAATCTAAATTAAAATCAAATATTAATTTCCCCCAATCATGACATGTATCCTTGTGACTTATCTGGTATTGATGAGTCATATGCCACGTAAGCCCTCACATGTCAAAATTTAATGTGTTTGGGACACAGTTATTTCATCGAAATTTCGAGGTCTACACACTGTTTTCAAATTCAATAAGACTACTCACACCTACAACGATGATTCTTGGACACCCTAATCCTATCTCTCATGACACTCACTATTAAAACAAAGGATCCTTTAGATATAGACCCTTACAACTCTTGTGCGTTAGAATTTAAGAGTTAATCGCGATAAGAAAAATATCAAATGCAAGAAACTTTTAACTGAAGTGATTAAGATTCTTCATTTCTAGCAAAATGCATAAATACATATGTAGCGCTTATAAAAAATAAGATAAGTATATTATACTTGTGATTGTAAAAAGAGGATTACTGGAAAACCTGCAATTTTCCAGTTTCTTACTTGTATGTAAATACAATGGAAAAATGAATGAATTGGAAAGTTGGAAAATAAGAGAAGGAAAGGGAGTAAGAATAAGTAGTTCCCGTAGACGGTCCGTTTCCTTATTTTATTTTATTTTGTATTTGATTATAGATTTTAAGGGAAAATTTATACTTTTTTTATTTTTTATGTGTGAAAAACGCATGAAAAATTAAGGAGTAAAATAATTCACTTACTCATATTTTAGTAAACACATCAAATTTAAGAATCAAAATGATTCAATTCTTAATCCTTGTAAATAAACATACCCTCAACTGAATCTTTCTTCAGTCTATTGAATATGTTGTACTGCTTATGATCGTTTTATTTTTTGGGTTCTTCAACCCTTACCGTTCCATCAGTTGATTTTTTGAGCCTTTGATGATTTTATTTATGTTCTTCAAGAGACTTTTGAATGAAAGTTTTACACCTCATGTTTTAGGACATAATTGTTGTAATCAGGCAAAATTTGTAGCCAAGGGATAGTCCGAGGAGAGCTCAACTACATCACCACATTACCACTTAATATTACAGTCTAATGATATTTCTTTTCATTTATAAATTGAAGGTATTACGTTGAATTCTCACCAGAGGTAAATTTGAACCAAATTATTGTGGTCATCCCATTGTAAGGTTTATCCCACTTCCAATTATAAATAATATCAAATGTATTAAGAAAAATATTACTACATTTAGAGCCGGCTCAAATGCAAGGCAAACAAGTCATGTGTTTTCGGGCTCACTTTTTTTTTTTTTTTTTTTTTTTTAAATGTCTTTAGCCTTCCAGAACTCATATTTTTTATTTCCCTTACGGTACATATGTATCTTTTTCTTATTCATCGTATTCTCAACGAAAGAGAGAAGGAAAAAAAAATTCAATTATTTTCCTTAATTTAATCTAATGTGCTTCAAATTCTTATTGTTTTTCAGATGGTTCGTAGATTGGATTGGAAATTGTAGTCTTAGTCCTTAATTTGCATTGAGAAGGCCCCATCTATATATCATCGAGGAGTGAGTGATTGCAGACGCTTACCATATATCATTCAAAATACTTAAGTATTACTTAATATTAATGAAAGATTGAAAGTCAATCATTAAACTTTTTACTGACAAGTAAAAAAAAAATATCAATACATCGTCATATTAGTAAGTAGTGGCAATGAACATGGAACTTCAGAACATTTAATCATTCGAATTCTATACAGTGCCCTAAAGTGTGCATAGATCTTATATCTTGCAATCTCCAAATTCAAAGCGTAATGCAATTTATTCATATTTTTACATTCTAACACAAAGTATGGGCCTCTACCATGGGCCGGACCGAAACAATGTAATGGCATGGTCCAAAAAAAGCCCATTTTCCACCGGATGGGTAACCATCGTACTGTTGTTTAACAGAACAATCTCAGCCGTCCAATCCACCCTAAACCCTAAACCCTCTCTCATATAACATTTCCCACACTCTGTCTCGCCGCGCGCACAGACACAGAGAGCCCCTCGAAAGCCCTGAAGGAGACCCAAACCCCAGAGCACCAACCATGGCGGCCCCAGCTATCGAGTCCGTACAATGCTTCGGGCGAAAGAAGACAGCGGTGGCTGTGACCTACTGCAAGCGCGGACGCGGCCTGATCAAGATCAACGGCTGCCCAATCGAGCTCGTCGAGCCGGAGATCCTCCGATTCAAGGCCTACGAGCCGATCCTGCTGCTCGGACGACAGCGCTTCGCCGGCGTGGACATGAGGATCCGAGTGAAAGGCGGAGGCCACACCTCCCAGATCTACGCGATCCGCCAGAGCATTGCGAAGGCCCTCGTGGCGTTTTACCAGAAGTACGTGGACGAGCAGAGCAAGAAGGAGATCAAGGACATCCTGATCAGGTACGACAGGACTCTGCTGGTGGCTGACCCCAGGCGCTGCGAGCCCAAGAAGTTCGGCGGTCGCGGTGCCAGATCCAGGTTCCAGAAGTCGTACCGTTAAGAGGATTGCCTCTTTTCAGTTTATGTTATTTACTATCTCGATCGGTGTTTTGTTTGAATTCCTAGTTTGAGTTTTTGGTGCGGATTTTGGAACTGTTTTGGTGAGACCTTGTTCTGGATATTTTATGCTTAGTTTTAATTTGATGCTGTTTTGAAGAATGATTGAATCAAATCCGTTGGAGTTTTGATAGCATGTGCCTAATCAAGTTGTTCTGAAATTTCTGATCAATCTTCATTGGACCTTACTACTACTTGTTAGCAATATTTAGTCTCCTGCACTGGAATTCGATGAACAACTGGGTCACGCACGCAAGCCCAAAGTTGCCCAGCTCTTCCCCCTTCTCCTGCACCAACCTCCCTTGCCTCTCCCGCATCATCCCCAAGCCTGCATCAACCCCAATCCGCCCAAACACCTCCACCCAACAATATAACCCACTGGCCGATGTACCTCTGTGAAGAGCGAGCATCCCAGTAGATCGAGTGTGCAGATTTCCAAACCAATCTCTTCCCCTTGACTTGAATAGCAGAGTTCAATTAGCAACAGTTTTCTGTGCACAAAAGATGTAGAGGGAACAGGGCATTCCTTTATTCATCCCTCATTTTACAATGCTAATGACCGCTTTGCCAAAACATGAAATACATTTCACTCTGCAAACAATGGCTGAAAATTCGTTTAACCAATTCAACTACAACTTTCGATCACTTGTAAACACAAAATTTGCAATCAGAACCCAATCCATGTGGACGATATCCCCTCTCGATCATAGCATGTGTCCTTTAGATCACTGAAACCCCTTTCGTTTCTTACACAAACAATTGATTACCTCTTGATACGTAATGTGCAGGAGTTTTGGTGCAATGAAATAGGGTTTACGCCTCCTAGAACTCTATTAGGATCGCACTTTGCCCTATTAATTTAAAAGTTACTACTTCACTACTTGAAACTTAAAATTCATTCTACTTCAACTTAAAACTTAATTTTAATATTTTTGTAAAAACATGTGAAACCCACCCTTTTCCTCTCTCCCCTCTCTCACATCCGATCTCTCTCTCCTATCTCTCTCTCTCTCATATCCCTTCTTTCTCTCCTCTCTTTCTCTCTTCTTTCTTCCTCCATTCTTTCAGCTTCATCTTTCCCAGAAATTTAAATTAGCTAAGAGAAAAGAAAAAAATTTCACCACTCCCCTCCCCAGAAAAAAGAATAAATTTTGGACCAAAAAAAACCCAGTTTTTTATTTTTTTATTTTTATAGGCGGGTCTGTTGGGTCTAGGGATGGGGTCGAATTTGGGGATCTAGAAGAAATGAGGTAGAAGGCCAAGATACAGTTGTCAAAGTAGAGGTAGAAGATGTTGTCGGCAAGGGCGAAGTAGAGGGAGTGTCTAGAGAGTGAAGTCGGAATCTTGGTGCTAGCGGGGAGGGATTTGAGGTTTTGAGGTTTTGGATTGGGGAAGATGGATGAGAGTGATGGGTTTATAGGGGGTGGGTTCAGTGGTAGGGATTTGGTGGAAGAGGACGAGGGGAAGAGCTCCATGAGAGGGAGGTGCAGATGGACAAGGGCATTGGAACGGATCAAAAGAAAGGGGGAGAAAGAGAGCGAATTATAGGGTGGTTCCCACATTTTTTATAATAATATTTAAATCATTTATCTTTAATTTATTAATATTTAATTAATATTTTTATCCAATTGGACAAGAGAATAGGTCTCATTCCAAGCCACGTCAGCATTTAACAGAAAAATTAACAAACAAATTGACGGAGGTCTGACATTGCAATAAATTCGTAAGATGATGTATGATATTGTAATTTTAAAAGCATGAGATATGAGATCGTGGTTTGACTCATAGTTGAGGTAGCTTTGTGTAATTTATCCTAAATTATAGTTGTTGAGGATTTCCAAATTTATTGAAATTTCTAGATCGAGAAGGGGGGGAGAGAGAGAGAGAGAGAGAGAAAGATTATGGTTCGAGAGGATTCCTAAAGAATGGGCATTAAATTTGTTGAAATTTCCAAATCAAGAGGAGATAGAGATTATGGTTGAGAGCTTTGAGATTTGAGAACCTAGAAAAAGGCTCTGGGTTGGAGAAGAAGATGAGGAACCAAACGGAGAGTTAAGGTGATAGGGAAAACAGAACCGACAAGAGAAGGAGATGAGCACAACGGAGCCGGCGAGAGAAAGAGATGAGGAGAATGACGGCATCAGGGGACGACGAGGAAGGCGAGAGAGAACCCAATTTGCACAAGATAGAGACGAAAGAGAACCGACTAATAATACGCCCCTTTTGGACAGTTTTCTTAGGCATGTGTACGCTGTATAAAATAAGTGAATTTGACTAAATTAATTTGGTCCAATTTAATATGAAAGGGCGCCAAACGAGCGGGTCTGTATTATTAGTCATATCTGATCCCTTATACGACATGCCAAATAAGCCTTAAAAGTTAAACTCTTTATGGATTTTCTACCGCCTTATAGTTTAACGTCAATTCTTGTGCTCACATTATAAAATATTATGTCAAAAGCATGAGGTGGTAGAGAATATATAGAGAGTCTCACTTTTGAGAGGGTCCCCTTAACATTTCTCCTTTTTCTTTAGACGGAACACATGCATATCCAAGTGCCGACATGAGCACCAATCCTATTTCTAAGCCCCTTTTGGAGAAAACTAATTTGGAAACCTACTTCTTTTATTACCAATTTAGTATACAAAAATTAATATCTTACATCAATCTCTTTTAGACCATCTCCAAGGAGATATCAAAGTATAAATATAAGAAAGCTCATGTGACAAATATGGGTTTTGGGTTGAAAAGTACATAAACAAGTATGTTCATGATTGGCCCAAAGCAAACACTATGACAACCCATCCCGAAATATGGAATATTTTATCCTTGATAGTGTGGAATTACTTTTGTTTCCTTGAATGTTGAGTTGTAATGGTGTAGATGAGCTTAGGTTTTGGACCAATTCATTTTCTTCCTAAGTATTTGGACCCAATTGGAACTTAAGATTTTGTTTGTTTTGTTTGGTTGCCCAAACTTGGACCACACACACCCACACACATACGTTGACCTCTTTCTCTTTCTTCCTCTCGATCTTTCTTCCATTTTCTGTACAACCCATATGGTCATTCCCTCAACCCACCTCATCACTCACGGATCAGGGTTGTGGATGTTATTTTTGCACTTCTTTTAAGCTCAGGAGTCGAGCTATAGCTTTGGTTGGGCGTGAGGATTTTGGAAAACCGAGAATCCATATTCTCCGGTGATGTGCTTTACTTTTATAGCGTAATCGTGGATGTTTTAAGTTGTTTTAAGGCTCGAGGAAGTCTCTAACCAACTCCATAAGGATCCTAGGTAAATTTTGGAGTGATTTTGGACGTCAGAATACTCGAGTCCATTAAGTTGCAGGGTTGGCCGGTTTTCACGAAATTTCTCGGTGAGATTCCATTGGTTTTAGGTCTCCAAGTGGTAAGATCTTACTCTCCTAGTTGAGAGCTTCATTTTGGTGAAAATTTCATGAATTTTGGTTGAGAAATGGATGAGATATTGAAGTTCTAAGATTTTCCAGAAACCGACGATAGCAGCGGTGGCCAGCGCTAAACTCCGGCAAATTAACGAAGAAGGAGAAGAATATTCCGTCAATTTTGACGGAATATGCTAACAGCGTCAGGTAAATTAAACGGTATATTCCATTATTTAACGGAGCATTCCCTAACACCATTTTGGAATCCGTCAGTGTGCCAGGCACGTGCCTGCGCATGGGCGGCGCATATGACCGTGCCTTGGTCGGCGCGTGGGAACTTAGAATTTTTTTTTGTAAAAGTGAGACTCAAGAGGACGAACACAGTCAAGTGAGACTCAAGAGTTGCGACCCAATCACATATCAGTGAGTGGGCTTTTGGTTTTCTATATAAGTATATATATATGCTTTACGTTTTTTTCCCCCTAGAAAACGTGTTTTAAATGACGTTATATTTTGGAATTGCCATGTCAAATGTGTTATGCTTAGAATATGCATTTAGTACTTACATATGTTATGGTTGATGTTGCGGATGTTTAGGTAAGTTCCAGGTGAGTTGCAGATTGTGGATATGAGTTGCATGGTTATAATTATATTTGATGCATTTAGAGCTCATAAACCTGCACCCTAGTGTTAGTGCTTCTGCCTATGGCCAGGGCACAATCCTTCACGTGATGTTTACCTCCCGCACCGCACGCTTACCTTGGATCCAAGTTAGGTGCACAGTTCTGTCGTACAGACCCCAATAGGAGGTTCTGACTCGTAGGTGACCCGCGATTATTCGCATAGTCTTCATATGATCGTAACACTTGAGCGTACTTATTTACACCCAGTCCTATCATACAAACCACAATAGGTGGTTCCCACTCGTGTGCAGGAATATTTGATGAGCTATAGGTTCAGCCGTACATGCCACAATAGGTGGATCCGGCTGACATATTACTTTTCGTTGATTTACTTCACCTGGCTTACTTATTTCATTATATTGAGATATTTGGCATGGCATACTTATGGATTTGGCTATTACGAGTATGGTTTCGATATAGATATGTATTCTATTTTCTGGAAAATTATACGGGTTTTATAGTGAGGGGTTACTACTTTTGATAAGTGAAATGACTTTAAAAAGCTTTGTTTTTGCCCACTTACACTTTCTGTTTTGCGCCCCTCTAAGTTTTAGGTAGGCGTGCTTGTTGGTGGCTTGTAAGGAGACTTCGGCGGTTCTGACAGATTGTATTTAATGTAGGATCATCCTTCTGGTATTGTATAATTAGTATTTGTCCTGCTGGACTGCACTTAGGCTACCTATGCTCTGATTAGGTGTGTTTACACTTAAATCTCATCACTTGCACCTATTTTCGTTTATATCCTTATCACTTCTGCACTGCGTACATGGCTACGTCACCTTCACATGACGGCCAACACGCCTTGATTTTAGGTCGGGGTGTGTCAAACACTGTAACAAACTCATTTTTGCTTCTTTGCAAAAGAAAAAGAGATTGCCAAATCCCAAATGATATTGGGTAAATTACACAAAATTACCTCAATTGTGGGTCGAACGACACTATAATATCTCATCTTTTAAAATTGACAATGTCAAACCTTATCTTTAGAATTTGTTCCAATGTTATACCTCTATTAGTTTGTCTGTGAATTCCTCAGTTAAATGTTGACATGGCTTGATCCGAGACCCAGTTCCTTACCTAGATGGATTCCACGTGGCACCACATCTAATGTTTTCCCACCAAATGGCATCCACGTAAGAAAAAAATATTTTTTTTATTTTTTGATTTTTTTTTTTGGTAATTTGAAATTTGCTTTCCCCCCAAAAAGTGAGAAAAATGTGATCTAACATTTTAAGAACATATTATCATCCTTAACCTCAAATTTGAAAAATCTCACCCAAAAATAATGATATAACCATAACAAAACTAGTGTATTCAAGCGCAAACTACTCATCATTTCCAAAGAAAAATATGAAATAGACCAAATTATGCATAAAACCTGCTTAATTATCCAAAAATTCATAAACCTATTAAAAAAACTAATTGAATTCATCTAGCATCCCCAACCAACATTACAAAACCTACTAAATTCATAAAAACATGCTACATCATCCATTCAATTCACAAAAGACCTACTGGATGCATAACTTTGCAATTCCTTTACAAAAAACAACCATCTGTGCAAAAAACTAGTGACTAGATTGCTTGGTATTTCTGTGCTTGGTGCTTTTGGATGATTCAGTTATTGGTTTGCTTGGTCTTTCTCTGCTTGGTGCTTCTAGGTGATTCAACTACTGATTGTGATGCCTAAATCCAAAGTTCATTAAGAGATAAAGCAAGCTTTTTATCTAAATCCAAATGTTTTACAACTAAAGATATGGTTAAAGTTTCTTTGTTTTCCTTGTCCTCTTTTTAGGTGCAATTTCAGCTGAATTTGTTGATGGTAATTGTCCTTGAATTTTGGCTTCCTCCAACTTCTTCTTGATTTTAGGACAGAGATCTCCAACTTTTTTCACCATTATATCCATTCTCATATGAATTCTCTTCATCAAGAGCGTGTGAATAAGGAGTAGCATGGTGACAATAGGTTTTTGTCTTGGCACAAGTATGACAGCATTGAAACTTTCACAGAGATCGTTCAACAACATGTCACACTTGGGATATGTTTCAAAATGGGACTTGCTCCAATGATGTGCAGGTTTCTTCACTAACCAATTGTAGGCCTTTTCATCCAGCTTCTTCATATCCTCCATTACTTTTTTGAAGTGGGGAACTATTGTTGTTCTGGCTATTGACCATAAAGCATCCTTCAAAATTTTCCCCTTCAACAAATTTCTGAAGTTGTCTACAAATATCCCACACAAAATCTGTGGTGGGAATTAGGGAGGACTTTTTGAAAAGTCGGAATTAACCCCTTTTGCTTATCACTGATAAGTGTCCATCCCTGTTAATTGAGAATCCCAACATCAACGACCAGTAACTCTAATAACCAAATCCAACTAGACTTATTCTCCACTTCTACCATTGCATACGCTATAACCCATGTTTCATCATTTGGGACAATGCCAACAACATAAAGTAGCCGACCTCCATGTACACTCTTTAAATCCTATCAATGGTCTACACCCTGACTTAAACCCCTCTTTGTAAGCCCCCAAGCACACATATATCATTTGGAACCTCTGCTTATCCAACTTCACCTTCACTATGCTTCCACGGTTAGTCTTCTTCACTTATTCAGCAAAATCCCACAACTTTGTGTATTGCTCTGCATGTTTTCCCTCAATGATCTTCAAAGCCATATCTAAAACCCTGTAAGCCTTCCTCTTTGTACAACTGTGATTCCACTCTGATTTAACAGTTGCTAAAAGGGAATCCACATGCCATATGGGATTAAATTTTATCATGTCCATGTAAAAATCCGTCAGCAAAAGGGACTTCAAGTTCTTGTTTGCCCAAGTTCTCCCACATGTATGTTCATCAAGTATGGTCTTGATCTGTATGTTATTTGAACCATACATTTTTCCAGCATAACATTTCCCAGGGCAGATTTTTTGCACACTTTGCTATGACTTTCAACTTCTCATTCCTAGGAAAATGGATTCCCCCTATCCATTCACTAGGGAGTACATGATGACAGCTCGCTTGAATTGCACATAATCCCTGAAAACAAGCCCTAGTGTAAGAATGAGATTCTTCATGTATGTTTTCTCATTGAACTATGGAAAGCGCTCATGTTTTTTGCCTCATTCATCTTCAGAGTGTACACTTTCCAGGACATCAGAGTTATAGTATGGATCATCAACCACATTTTGTTCCAGAGTTGCAGTATCAAATTCTTCTTCCTTTTGCTCTTTTTCTCTTTCCCAGCTTTGCTCAGATTGCCTTGCACTTCTTTGCTCAAAATCCCTTTTATATGTTTGCTCAGAGTTCTCTTCTTTTCTGTGCTTAGATTCCCTTGCATTTTCTTCCACAATACCATCAAACTTGGAAAACACTGGGTTATCAACATCACTCCTATATTCACTCTCTTCAAACTCACTATCATCTTCTTCAACAGCTTCTTCATTCTTTTCTTCAATATTCCCCTCAAAACTAATAGGTACATCAAAGAAGACTTCAACGTCCCCCTCTTCTACATCCCTTTCTCCTACCTTAGTATCCTCTTCTTCTACCTCAGTATCCTCTTCTCATACCTTAGCCACAGATTTCCCCTTGTTCTCTTCTAGCCCTTCACCATTTTTCTCTTTCTGACCATTCCCAGAATCAGCATTTCTCTCTCCTACCTCAGTCACACATGTTTGCATGAGATGTGCAACAATCATCCACTTCTAGCCCTTTAATAGCTAGCAAGCCCCTATATCTTATTGGTTTAAGTGGTGTTGGCCTAACATCCCCCTCTGAACTACTTATCTTCTCAATTACCAATTTACTTAGACCACCAACTTCCATGGACTTCAGAAATTGCCCTTGGGTAACGGCTTCTTCTGTCGTCAATTCTTCGATGTACATCTCAACCCCTTTATCTTTTGGAACAAAATTGCACATCGCCTGAACATCGAAATCACTTTGAATCGGCTTCAAACCATTGGAAAAGTACATGTTGGGAATCTTGTAATGGTAGTTCATGAAGCACTCACTGTATCTAACTGCCTCCACCATATCATTTATCACCGGCAGTGACATGAGGTCTTTATCACAGTTATTTATATATGTCACTTTTCCCCCAACTTAGAGGTCATAACTTATCTCCCCACCATGATGCAATTCAATAGAGAATAATTCTGGATATACTGAAATTCACAAAAACAAACCCTAATTAAAAGCCAACAACAAACAAAAGCAATTGTATTTTAACCTAATCAGAAGCCACCAAAAACCAATGCACAAGAATAACCAAAGCAATAAAGCAACAAAAAAAAACAAAGTAATAAAGCAACAAACCACCTTATCCGACACACTATATGCAAACAGCCAAAGCACATTAACCATTTCTCGATAAGAAAGCAACAAACCGCCTTATCTTGACAAGAATAAACAAAGCAACAAAGCAACAAACCACATTATATCGACAAGAATAAACAAGGCAACAAACCCATTATCCAACAACTCAGTAACCATTTCGAATTAAGAAAGCATAAAACCACCTTTTTAAATGAGAATAAACAAAGCTACAAACCCATTATCCGACACCTCAGGAATCATTTCGAATTAACAAAACATAAATCCACCTTTTCAAACAAGAATAAACAAAGCTTCAAACCCTTTATCCAACACCTCGGGTACCATTTCGAATTCACAAAGTATAAATCCACATTTTCAAATAAGAATAAACAAAACCCACATTCAACTCATTCCAATAAATAAGTTCAGTATGCATTTGGAATCATCAAAAGCACAAAAAAAACTTACAATAGGTAGGTGTCGTTTCGTCAAGATCCTCGCGCACGTACCACCCCACGTCGAATCCTTCGATTTTTCTTCGAAGCCATTGAAACCCAAATGAAACCCCCTTCCAACACCAACGAAGTCAAGGAAGCGAGTCGACAAGATGATTTAGGGATTTTCGCTGAATTTCTAATTTGATTATTCGATATTTGAAACCGCTTGTATGAGAACTAGGGTTAAGGGTTTTTTTTTTTTTTTTTTTTTTTTTTTCCGGAATTGAGAATGGAATTAGATCGATAGGGTTTGGATGTACCGAGGGGAAAAACAATTCAAATGGCACAATTTACAATGTACTCTTACTTTTTAAATTTTAATTTAAATATATTTTTTAAATTTTAATGGAATATTCACATGACATCCGGTGAGAAAAGCCACATGTATTGAGAATCTCACTGGATGCCATTTGGTGGGAAAATATTGGGTGTGGTGCCACGTGGAATCCATCTGGGCAAGGAACTGGGTCTCGGATCAAGTCACGTTAGCATTTAACTAAAAAAATTCACAGATAAACTTACGGAGGTATAACATTGGAACAAATTCTAAAGATGAAGTATAACATTGTCAATTTTAAAAAATGAGGTATGATAGTATCGTTCAACTCATAGTTAAGGTAATTTTGTGTAATTTTCCCAATTCAGTTTTGAAACGGTACCCTGTTCGGATAAGGTCACATTGCTATTTTCCTTTCCAAACATCGAAAGTGGCCGCCGGAAACGCACATGATAATTGACGCAATGTTCCCCCAAGTATAAATACAAAAAACCTACACGCACTCTGCTGCCCTTAATTTCAGTTTTTCCCTCCACTCTCTTTTCCCTCACTGCTTTCTTCCATTTCTGAGTTCCGTTTGAATCTTAGATAAGTCCCAAAGTACGCAGAAATCCGGCGTGGAAAGTAAAGGTACCCATCTCTTTTTCTTCGACTTTTGCTTCGTTTTTACCTCTTTTTCCAGTTTTAGGGTAACTTTTTGTGCTTGATAATCTGGCTTTAATTTGAAATCTTTGAAGGTGTTAAACCCCATATGGTTTTGTTTCATTGATTATCTGTTCTGGGTTGTTTTGTGTTTTGCTTGGTGGGTTCAGATTCATTTGGGTTTATATTTGATTTCGAGTTGATTAATTTTTTATTAGTTGCAGATCATATTGACTGCAGAAGTTTGAATCTTTGTGGGTTTTTTATAATGGTAGTTTTTGGGTACCTTGACATTTACCTAATAAATAAGTTCATGACATTGGTCATTTGACAATTTTATCTTTAGTTTAGGAGAATGGGGTTGGTTCAATGAGATGAGCCAAATTTAAGAATCTGATTTTTTTTTTTTTCTTTCTTAATATGTGTGAGTATGCGTTGGTGATAAGAACCGAGAGAATGAACGAGATGGTTTGCAGTGGAATCAACCCCATGGTTGGGGACGGAAGGGATGCAAAATGTTGGATCTGTTATGAATTGGATAGTTGAGCAGCCCAGTGAGGTTTTCTCTTTGGTTTTTCTGAGAGAGCATATCTGTTGCGAATGTGCTGTACTGACCGCTTTAATTTTTTATGATCCTTAAAGATGGACTGTTGTAGGGTGAAAAGTTATACAAAAATAATGGAAGGGTAATTTTCCGCATGGTGATTCTTTAATTGTATGATAAAATTTCCAATGTTTTAGATTATAAGTAGCGAAAATCACTGCTTCACTCTATCGTTTTCATTTGTTGATGATACCTTTTACCAAATGGAACTCTGAAATTTCCTCTAACCTCTTTTTGATTGCTAGAAAGGGGGGAAAGAGAGGAAACTTGATTGGTAATAAAGGGCAACATAGCATATTGGGAATCTATATATATGGGGAAACAATTGCTTCAAAGTTAAAAATGAAGGAATTGCATGATAGTAGTTTAGAAGGTTTTAGTTTAGTGCTTTTAATTTTGTTTACGTTACAAATTTTCTCCTCCCCGGAAGACGAAGAGAAGTTTTGTTGCATAATTGTTATTTTCTATATTCCAAGTTTCTTCGCAGTTTCTACTTTCTAGGTCAACAGTTATAATCGTGCATATATTAACTTAATTTTTTCTGTTGTCAAGAACTATGTTGGGTAAAGGATGTTTCTGATGTTATAAGAGTTTTATCTCATATCCTGAAACGTTCATTTGGTAAATTCATGATGGTTATCATTTAATATTTTGGAACTTTATATGTATGGCATAAGTAGGCTGCTTATCACTTTATTAAAGTGTTTATGATTGCCATTTGTAGGTTTTGTTGCAATGGATGCCACAACTCTGAATTCAGAACGCCGTCCATTTTCAATTAAACTATGGCCTCCTAGCCAAAATACAAGGAAAGTGCTTGCGGAGCGGATGATAAACAATCTTAGCTCTAAATCCCTTTTCACTGAGAAGTATGGCTGTCTGAGTAAGGAAGAGGCTGAGGAAAATGCAAAACGAATTGAGGATGTCGCTTTTGCTACTGCAGATCAAAACTATGAAAATGAACCAGATGGGGATGGAAGTTCTGCAGTGCAGCTTTATGCCCGGGAATGCAGTAAGCTCCTGCTGGAAGTTCTTAAAAAGGGACCTAGAAGCAAGGAGGACGGCGAAGTGACATCTGGTACCACACCCACTGAGACTTTGTTTGATATATCGAAAGGCCAACGGGCTTTCATTGAGGCTGAGGAAGCTGAGGAGCTTTTGAAGCCACTGAAGGAGCCAGGGAACACTTACACCAAAATATGCTTCAGCAACAGAAGCTTTGGTCTTGGAGCAGCCCGTGTTGCTGAGCCCATATTGGTTTCTCTTAAGAACCAGTTGAAAGAAGTTGACCTCTCAGATTTTATAGCAGGAAGACCGGAGGCAGAAGCTCTTGAAGTCATGAATATATTTGCAGCTGCCTTAGAAGGTAGTATCTTGAAGTATCTGAATCTCTCCAACAATGCCTTGGGGGAGAAAGGTGTTCGGGCTTTTGGGGCACTCCTGAAATCACAAAGTTACTTGGAGGAACTCTATTTGATGAATGATGGCATTTCAGAAGAAGCTGCTCGAGCAGTTTGTGAGTTGATTCCTTCCACAGAGAAGCTTAGAGTCCTCCATTTTCATAATAATATGACAGGAGATGAAGGAGCAATTGCTACTGCTGAGGTTGTCAAGCGTTCTCCCCTTTTGGAGAATTTCCGTTGCTCCTCCACGAGGGTAGGCTCCGAGGGAGGAGTTGCCTTATCTGAAGCACTTGGGACTTGTACCCATTTGGAAAAGCTGGACTTGCGGGACAACATGTTTGGTGTAGAAGGTGGAGTCGCATTGAGTAAAGCTCTTTCCAAGCATAACAATTTGACAGAGATTTACCTTAGTTACTTGAACCTAGAAGACGAGGGCGCAGTTGCAATTGCCAATGTTCTCAAGGAATCAGCCCCTGCACTCGAAGTCTTTGACATTGCTGGAAATGACATAACAGCTAAAGCTGCTCCTGCCATAGCAGCTTGTATAACAGCTAAACCACATCTGGCCAAGCTGAATTTGGGTGAGAATAGCCTTAAGGATGAAGGCACTATTCAGATCAGCAAGGTGTTGGAAGGCCATGCTGAGTTGCAGGAAGTTGATTTCAACACCAACCAAATCAGAAGAGCAGGGGCTCGTGCGTTGGCACATGCTGTGGTTCAGAAGCCCAGTTTTAAGCTGCTCAACATCAATGCAAATTTCATTTCTGATGAAGGAATTGACGAGCTGAAGGATGCATTCAGGAAATCTCCCGACACGCTTGGATCTTTGGACGAGAATGACCCTGAAGGAGAAGATGATGATGACGAAGATGAAGATGACGACAAAGAATCTGGAGAGGGCAAAGGCAATGAGGATGAATTGGAATCCAAACTGAAAAACCTTGAAGTTGGCCAAGAGGAATAGAGGTCCTCTCTCGTATGTCTAGGTGTTTTTCTCCTTCCTGATTAGGTTTCACAGAGTTAATACCCTCTTTAACATCAATTACTGGTGAGGGTATTTGCAGCTTTTAGGAAGACTATTGAATCTTACTATGCATCAGTTGGCACCAGCCGTTTCTTAAAGCTGTGTGATGACGGGTGTTCGTAGAATTGGGTTTAATTGTTTCTTTTATTGTCATGTTAGTCGGTTTATCTTTCTTTGTTTCAAACCTTAGGAGTGCAGTAAGCATCACCCCTGTTGTTGTGATAGATGTGGCTTTAGTAGATTTCGGATGTTTGCTATATATGACTATGAGGGTTATTCTGGATATTATTTTATGAAATGCAGCAAAAGCATTGCTGCTGGTGTTAGAATAGAATATGTCGTTCCAGTTTCATCGGATGTTCCTTAGAGGGACGTTAGAAGGAAATGTGTGATATTACTGACTGTTAAATGACGTGATTTGATGATTCTGATTTGGCTTTGTTCCATGAGTGAAAAAGGCTTTGTTCTCTGAGAGGCTTTTACTCATGGAACACAGCCTCGATGCGCCTCCAAGGTTGTTCTTGCCCTCATTGTGTCTGCTGGTCGTTGTAGATTGGCAAATCTCTAGACGCAGGCCTTTACTGTTTAATAGAATCGTTCGCTCGTTTGGGACTACTATTGGAAGCACTTTTTCTCTAAAGCGCTTTGCTCGAATTTGTTTTGTTAAAAAAAGGTTAAGCATCTGATAGGTCCTCCAAACAAACGTTTCCGACCTACAAGCATTTTTAACCGTATCAGCTGTAAAAGCCATCAGAAGCATTTTCTTTTGTAAAAACGCTTTTAACACTTCTAGAAGCAGTCACAATTTCAAGAAATCCATACAAAAAGAAAAAAGGTTTACGAACTTTACGAGCAAGAACTTTCTTGTTAAATAACTTCCAAGAAACAGATGCAATCTTATTCTTAAAAACACTCCAAATAATTGCAAACCAAAAGATTATTAATTTATACATTTCCCTACCGTTATTCTTCTTTGATACAAGTGGTGCAGACATCTTAGATTCATTATCCTACCACAATGCCTACTGAGCCCGACAATGAGATCGGAAGGTGCTATCGATAAAGTTCGCGTTGCTGCTCTAACTGCCAGGCTTCGCACAACCAGCAGAATGTACGGAGGTTAAGTCAACATCAAGCATTTGCTGCGCTGAGATGTAAAAGATCAGCAGAAAGCTGATCAATGCTGAAGACCATGTACAAGACCAGCAGCCACAATCATGCTCAGGTAAGAAGTCATGAGGGGTTCGCTGCTGAGCTAATTCGATTAAGCCCATCCATTACCTCTTACATTGGAATTTTGCCCTCTACCATCGGAGGAGGAACCTGGGTTAACATAGCTTGATCTCTTTTTTCGATGTATCTTGAATGTCAAGATAGGCCCATTCAAACCACTTCCTCCAGCTGCATGACTTTCATGTTTCTCTACTTCCAGATCTTCAGACTTCTGTCTCTTCGAGCCTGGGGTCAACTCATAGGTATCTTCACTTGCTCCCTCTTTTGCCAACGGAACATTTTGAATCAATTTCGCAACTTTTTCCTCTGTTCCTGCATTACCACTAACTAATTCAACGCTATCTGATTGAACATGATTTCTCTTTGTTCCTCTTCCTGAAAGCTTCGATATGTCTGCTCCATTTTCTACAGCTTTCATCCACTGTAAATCACTAAGGCCATCAGAATAAGACTGTACTGCCTTTCTCCTGCGCTTTCCCGTGATGCTGCCACTATGAAAGCCTTTGGTAGCAGTTTGCTTATCAGGTGTTGAATATGCCCACTCGGGAACCTCATGGTCTTCCATAAGGCGAGATCTGTAGTTCTCCTTTCGCCTTCTCTCCTCATCCATTTTCTCAAACATCCAGAACTCTTCTTCTGATCTGGCAGCAAGGCGGTTGATCTCTCGCTCGCTTGGTACATCTGTCCCAAGTGATCTTGTACCCTTGCGCATGATTTCCTCCAACAGCTCTCTTCTGTCCTGAGCTGCAAACACAACGTATATCTTTTGTCAGAATACAGCCGTAGTGGAGCGCAAAATAAAGAAAATGTGTTCATCTTAACCATGCAAGATACAAGACATCTCTTCCATTCAATCTCTGATGTAGACGTGGTGTTACTTTACTGTGAGTGGGGGGAAAAAGTTTTGACCTTGTGGTTTATGCAGGGTCAATAGCAAGCCCAAGATCGATAATAGTTGTGACTCAATGCAGCACTTCTAATTTGCTTCTATCATTGACTTGGGAACGACATGCATACGTATTAAGAAACCAGATTTGTATGAACGTGATGCATGTGTAGAGAGCATGTGCAGGCAAAGTAATGAAGCAGTGAATAAAACCTCATTCTTACTAGAAGTAATGACATCATAACAAAAAAAAAAAATGGCATGAAACTGAAGTGCAACCAACCTGTGGAAGTTGTATTAAATAGTCCGGCCTGGATGACCTTGGCATCTATGCCCATCTTCTCTTTAGCACGCTCTAAAATTACTTCTTCGATTGATCCAACACTAACCAACACAAATACCCTAACTTCTTTCTTTTGACCTATACGATGGGCCCGGTCCTCCGCCTGTTGGTCCATTTGTGGATTCCAATCACTGTCGAAAATTATTACCGTATCAGCAGTTTGTAAGTTCAAACCAAGGCCTCCAGCACGAGTGCTCAAGAGAAACATGAAGAAAGGAGAGTCTGGAGCGTTGAATTTCTTTAGCAGAGTCCCCCTTTCCTCAGTTTTTGTTGAACCATCCAGTCGAAGATACTTAAAGTCGTGAAGTTGCAAATAAATTTCAAGAATGTCCATGAGACGAGTCATTTGTGAAAAAAGCAGGATTCTGTGCCCCGCTTTGTGGAGTTTTGGGAGTAGACGATCAAGTAGTTCAAACTTTCCTGATGCTCTGATGATCTCCTCCCTGCGCCACATGTTATAATCTCCCACAAAAAGGTATGGGTGGTTACAACACTTCCTGAGCTGCATTGTCAGGTTCTGCAAGCTCTTTGATTTTCCAGAACCTAAAAACAAGTTCGCATCAATAAATTATGACAGAACAAATAATCATTGCAATTTTAGACTGCTTTTCAAGGACGTTAACTGTCACAATGTTTCAACTAATTTAGGTAAGAAGAATGGTGAACTGCATGAACAGTAATGCAATATAGAAGATTTCCAGGAAAAGTAAGGGGGTTAGGGTTGATATCAGATATGCAGATCTATCATGGAGGAAAGGAACAAACCATTATCGAGCCCAACTCTGCCCACATCTGTAACTTGTTGATAATATACTTTCTGCCATGCTGACATGTCACTTTTCAGTATGACTTGAGATTTTCCAGGAAGGAACTTCTCCACCTCATCTTTTTTCCTCCTCAGTATGAAGGGCCGTATAACCTACATCATAAAGAAATTTTAATCTTTTTTTTTTTTTTTTTTTTTAAAAAGTCCACAACCAAAATAAACAGAAACTGCGAGCAAGACCCACTTGATGTAGACGGCGAATGATCAATAGCTGTTCTTCATCAGTAAGGGTAATACTGCCCCGATCCGCAAAAGGTGCATTAAACCATTCCTCAAAATTTTGAACTGAATTAAAAATGTGTGGGAGAAGGAAATTAAGCAGGGACCACAACTCCTGCAAGCTATTCTGTATTGGGGTACCAGTCAACAGAAGTCTTCGTCGCATATCATAACTGTGTCCAAGTAAAAAAATTAATAAAGCCTTCATATTAAAAAAAATAAAAACTAGGAAAAAAAGAAACCAGCAAATGCTAACCCAAAACACTTTTCAAAAACTCAAGGATAATCGACCATAAAAATTATGGACCACAATTCGTTTATGTATTTGATAATGTAGCAAAATAGGCAATAACTTGCAGTTAATCTTCATAAAAACTCAAACACTACTGAAACTATATGCAAACTTGAAACACAGAAACAGAATTTTGAAACTCCATGGACCTTTATAACTAATCAGTGTATCAAGACTTAGTTCAAAACTTCAAATATTGGACCGACTTTCTTTTACCTCTGAACAGAGAAAAGTCATTTGCAAAGTAAGCAGTCTCAATCTTCACATTTCATCGGTGTAAGGAGCCTAGGAAGTGGGGACAAAAACCTAGGAAAGACCCTCGGAGACAATTCACATTGGTATTATTAGATTTGCTCATTAAAATCATATGGTGACACAACAGAGGGCAATCATCAATTTAGAGAGGTTTAGGACTACTCTGGCTGGTTGCCATCAGATACATTTAAGATTCTTACGTGATCTGCAAGATAAACTCGTTCCTTTCTTTGTTTCTTCGGAAGTACATTGAATGATCTAAATCTAATTTTACAACCAACCTTTCACCTTAACCACAAATGTATTATTACAGAGTTAAGAAGATTTTTTGGGTTTCCTATTCATCTTTAAAGTTTTTTCACCCAAAGGTAGGAAATAAACAGCTTTTTCTGGTCATAGCAGGAAATAAACAGCTATACTGCAGCTTTCTGCCCATCCAAAAACAAAAATTAATAAATCCTACTTATAAAACTATTAAACTACACAAGGAGTGAACAAGATGACCACAACTTGGAAAGCAAAAACATAAAATGAAGCATTAAAGCAAGTGTTCTCTCACACTTAAAGAGGGGTGATAAGAAGGTTAAAAATAAGCCCTATTGAATTCGCTAAAAAGGGAAAGAAGAAACATAGACCTATAATAAAACATCAAAAGAAAATAGGCCTCTATTGGCATGTAGCACATACCCTGCAAGTGTTTGTGCAAGAGCACACTCATGATTCTTCAACCTATGCCCTTCATCAACAATCAAGTAGTACCAGTTGATTTTTTTCAAAAATTGTTTATCCCTCATGATAAGGTCATAATGTGTGATCAACACATTAAATTTTCCTTCCCCTGATAATTCTTCCCTCATTGCCTTTCTTTCGTCTTGACGTCCATCATAAAGAATAGCAACAATACTGATCAAGAAGAAAATACATAAAATGATCTGTCAGAATTCTTCTTTTATGCTATTACGTATGTAGGTAGGTATATATTACATATATACATGGGGGAAGAGAGAGGGAGAGAGACAGAGAGAGATGTTTAAAGACCCTGTATATGTACCTAGGAGCCCATGTTGCGAATTCATTAACCCAATTTGGTAATACGGCCTTCGGAGCCACTATCAAGTGGGGTCCAGTGACACCCTTGTTTTCAATGAGATATGCAATCAATGATATAGTTTGAATGGTTTTACCCAATCCCATCTCGTCAGCCAAAATACCATTTAGATTGTTATTGAACAAGGAAACCATCCATTGTAGGCCCTCAACCTGGTAAGACCTTAGTTCTCCACCTTGAAGCATGGAGGGTTGCTCAGTCACCTGTTGGATTTAATTATTAGTAAATCCTCTGCTCCAGAGCACTCAGCAATTCCAACACTCTCACAAATAAGCTTTTAAAAAGCTTTCAAACAGATCACATGGAATATGAGGCAAATGGACCACCCCCTTATACTGGAATTAATTCATACGCATAATCCACCCACCTGTATACCTATATGTATAATAGCCAAGAAAATAATAATAAAAGCATGTTTAAAGGCCAGGGAAATTCCCAAAGAAGGCTCAATCCTCTTAAGACAAAGAACGCAAATGCCAGTCTTATAGAATAAGTAACACAAGGCATTGTGCTCATTTGATTAACACGAGCTTTCTTAAATTCATAAATTTCACAAAAAGAACTTCCACATGAGTGATTTGTGGCTTAATTTAATGCTAAGACCTAGGAAGCTCAAATTTTAGCTGTCAAGGTCTGATACCAATACCATTCAAGTAGTTAAAACAAATAAATCATAAATGTCAAATTGTACAACAGAATATAAATGGAGTGAAAAAATAAAACTATGATGGCATAGAATAACACTTTATCTTTTACCTGTTCCTCAATAGAATGGATGGCTGAGTTATACTGCCGCTGCCCTTTAAGCAAGTCACTACTGTCATCATTACAATCAGAATCAATGAAGTCCACATCTTCTTCCAACTCTGTCAAATCACCTTCAGAGTCTTTCATTTCTTCAGTACCCTCTGAATGCTTAAAATCTTTCTGCCGCTGAACAGCAGCTCCCAAATTAACGAGGAGTTTATTTGTTTCTTCAAGAAGTATTGTTAGCCTTTCATTCTTGCTCTCCTTTACCATTCTCATGTATGCTTCCTGATCATCTGCCTTTAAGGCCTGGAACCTCAATTTCTCAGCCCTTGTGGCTCGTTGTCTTTGCTTTCCATGCCAACTCTGTCAAAATAAGATAATGATAAAACGATTGGGCTCACACGTGACCCCTTTTGCTTATGGGATCCTCCTTTAAAGCATCTCTGATACATATGCATACATATAATATGGGGGTGTGTGTGTGTGTGTACAGTCATCGTCACCTACTCCTCAGGGAGCATGAAAATTTATGCCTGCGAACTATTGGATCACAATCCAACAGCTAACATACATTCAAAAAAGAAAAGTACTTTATCAGGATTCAATTATCAGTCGCCCAATCTCAATCTAATGGTGTTATGGTGAGCATGGATATTGTGCCTCGTCATCATTGAGTAGGAGATCAAGATTGTGTGAGCAATATGGACTGATCCTTGGTCTCTTCCAAATTAAGTATGAACATCTTTGATGAGTTTATCCCATACATTTAAACAGAGACATTACAGATGAAGAGAAAAAAAGTAATAGTTATGAAAAGACAAAAAGCATACCAGGACATGATCATTCCTCTGTTTCCGACGTTTCATAGAAGCCTGAATTTGCAATTGGTATTCACGAACAGCATTAAGTATTTCTGTAAAGAATTTTCTTTTCTTAGTCTCAATGTTGTTCTTCTCCTCCTCTTCTAACCTTGAGAGGCGCTGCATCAAAGATATGTTACTGTATCAGCAGCTTTCAGGATGCACTGATGCATTTAACACGTATTCACTTAGATCGTCCCACTGATTATTAGTCTCTTTTAAGAAAATATAAAAATTATGATATGCCTCAGATTTTATAGCCTTTCTTCTCTATAAAATAAAAACCCCAATTTACTCGTTATCAACACCAAAAGAAGGTAGCCTAAAAAACAAGCATAGCAATTTTGGTACTTCTCTTTTAGCCATATGCACTCCTAACTGATTAATTTAAAATTCTTCTGCACTTGCAGGAGGAATGCCGAAGGCTAAAAGAGGAGTGTCAAAATTACTAGCCAAATACAATCAATCAAAGAATTCCACTGTGCCACCCCGTTCTGTCAATACAAGTTACTCTAAAACCCCAGATTTTCATTATCCCCCTTCTAAGTGTGACCATTTCAAATAAGTAATGCATGTATTAGTATATAACCTCAGCATCTCGTTTCTTCCTGAACTGATCATCGGCCTCCATGGCAAAAGCATCTCCAACACCATACAGTGGACTGCGCAATCGCATCATGCCCCAGTCAAACAATGTTTTGTCAGGATGCTCACAATGCATACGGAGTGAGTATTCTGAACTCACTTCAGAGCGGACCTTCTTTTGCAATTCTGCAAGCTGCTAGAAAGAAGTCCTTGCCAACAAGGACATGCATGTCATCCATCGGTACCAGAACATATAAAACATAAAACTCTCCATAACAATCACAATAATAACTCTTTTTGTTGTATATTTTTAGAAAATGGCAAATGCTAATGAGTACATAAAAGTGTGACTCACAGGCAAAAACAGAAAAGTGTCTTTCTGAAAGGGAATTTTCAAAACAACATCAGTACATCAAGTTTACCTTTAGCCCATAGAGTTCGAGCAAGCACTTTGTCTGCAGGTCCTCCCCTCTACTTGAAGGTAATTCTGATTCAAAATCAGTGGTAAGTAAGGCTAGACAATAATTGTACAGCATAAAAACACTAACAAGACTCCAAAAGCAGTTGAGAACACTATTCATAGGGTTGAAATAATAATTTCTGGCTGACCATTGAATTAAGTAATTACAGATTAAAACATGGCCCAAGGATGCAAAAACGATGTGGTCTTCAAATTAAGAGCAATACAGGTTAAAAGACATGACCACTATGGTTCTTTTGCAAGAAAAAAATGCAGAGCAAAGACCTAGTCAAACCTGACCTTGATCCTCTTCAGCAAAGGTGGTGAGGACTACAGGTCACATTCTAATCAAATCCGTAACTTTTGCACCTACTCTAAAATGAGGGTGAGAGGACAGAAGACAACCAGACCAATCATTAAAAAAAAAAAAAAAAAAATTAGCTTTTCCTTCTCTTTTTTTCTCTCTTTCCTTCACGTTGTTTGAACATAGTTGAATGTGCAGAATTTCCACATACAACAACTGGGAGCCTATTGATAACATTATATCGCCGCTCTACCAAACATACAAAAGTGTTCTTGGGCGCTGAATAAATATTATTCATAAAGTTTAGCAGGAATGGCAAATGAGCAAAAGAATGTGAAACACTAGGTGATTAGTTCTCATGAAATTGTAAAAGTTAGTCACCTTCGAGTTCGGTTAACCGATGCTGAATGTGGCTTTCATAACGTTTTTCTTTCGATTCTATTAATGCAGCACCCGACGTGAAATTTTGACGTTGTTCCAAAAGTGCATCTCCAAGGTCTGCTAATAAATCTTCTCCTGCAGCAGAACTATCAGGGCCATCCTGCAAGCATTACGTATCTCAAAGTCAATAAATTTCCAATCAACAAAGCAAAACTATAAAAGACAAACAAAAAAGCTGCAACAAACCCCCTTACACCTCCAGTGAAGAAATTCAATTGAATTAAAACATAAAGGTCGAAACTTTTCCTACCAAATCTCATACTCCACAACCTTCACCAAAATCCCAAAATCGAAATGAAGCCAAACCGCCAATTCACACAAAGAACCAACCCAGGATGCCAAATTGACAAGAACCCAAGAACCAAAACCGACACAAAACCCCAAAACCCAAAACTAGGAAAAACCAAAAGGGAGTGGGAAGAAACCGTACCAAACCCTCGTCACCGTCGAGAGGGGCATCCGGGGCGGCGGCGTAGATGTTGGAAACGACGTTGAATAAGTCGGGAGGGAGGGGGAGGTTACGGAAGAGGAAGTTGAGGGCGCAGATCAGGGACTTGGTCTTGTGGACGTGGTCGAGGCTGGCGCTGCTGCTGTCCAGCTCGGCCATTGGAGACCTTGGCGGGAGAGAAAAACCGCACAGAACCCCTCCCAAAACGATCTGATTTCAAACGGTCACTTTTTGAATTGAATTATTTTTGGGTTTAATCTGTGATGTTGCTTTACAAATATCACACGCTCTCTCTCTCTCTCTCTCTGTTTATCGGATCACTTGGGTGATTGCTTTCGTTTCGGCGTTCGGGTGGGTTTTGTCGCCCTCTTTTTTTCTCTTTGCGTTTTATTGGAAAAATCAGGACCGAATTATTATATTTGTGGTGTTGCCTAACGGGGCTCTATTTTTCTTGAATGACGAAATTACCCCTGTGCGGATGAGAAATAGGGACCGTCCACTGTTATACCGGTTGTGCCCTTTGCTACTCTCTTTTGTTGGTCTTTTTATTTCATAGGATTGTATTGGGTTAAAGTATATTTGCATCCAACTAATTTTTTTTCATAGGATTGTTTTTTCACTTAAGGGACTTGGAGATTTAATTTTGACAATTGGAGTCACGTAGATTGCTTGACATTTCAATTAAGGATGACGCATTTAAATCACAAACATGAATTCAACGTTTTTATCATGTGATAAACACGTGAAGTGGCAAAATCAACCTATTCAATTTTCTTTGTTTGCATAGAGTGTGTATGGATCTGTTTTAGTTCTTTATGCACCTATACTGTTAACCAAAACGACTTTCCCCATAACGATTATTTTTCCAAATTGTAACCATCCAAATTGATCGGTTTTGTTTGGTATGATAGGTTAGTCGTTTAGGTTTTTATTTGATAAATTTTTTAATATTTTCCATTTTCATATCCGAACTAATAAGCCAAGTCACCTCTATTTAGTAGATGTGAATTAGTTTTGGCTACGACAGCCTCATTTGCACTCAAGTTCGAATCTCAATAGTCTATAGATTAGACTAATTCAAAGAATCGTATCGTTAACCAAAAAACCCATCCATATTTGGTTATTGGCTTTCTAAAGTTTTCAATACAGTTTTTTCATATATGTTTTCAACCCCATAAAAAATTGTCTACCTTACATGTTTACAAGAAGAAAACAATGAGCTGGTGCTCCGAAATTTACCAGCTGCGCTCGATCCACCTACTCAAGGCGCCAATACAAAAACTCTTCAATATTCACCCGGATTACAACATCAATTAAGTTTTTTAGCAGACTTTCCTTCCAACCTTGCAGCTTCATTTAGATCACAAATTGTCCGCTTAATCATGCAGCTTAAGGTTGAGCAGCTTGTGGACTAGTTGGGCAGAAACAAATGAACAAAAAGGACGAGGATAATCTTCTGCCGCATAATTGCTATTCCCGCCTTTAATGATGTTAGAAGCAAAGTTACGAATCGGAAGAATCATGACTTGATTTCGGATTCCCAGTGATCTTGGCAACTGTGGAAGTTCCTAATGTCCTCCAATTAGTGAACTTTAATGCTAAATTCTCTTCAATGCTCGGCTGATTGGTTCTTGGAAATACTGAAGAGATATGAGAATGGCTTCCTGCCCATGAAGAAGCAAATTAAGCAAATAATAACACAGTTTTTTTTCAATAAGAAGTTTTCATAAATGCATAGAAGAGCAAAGAGTATGCCATAAGTACCTCAGTTCGAATTGTTCGACTCCCCTGATGTGGGCATGTGTTCAAATACAAATCAAATACCTCTCGCACATTTTTTGCCTTCAAAGAGATCCAACAAAAATTGAATACACACCCCCTAAGTTGTGAAAACCAAAGCCCTGATCAATTCACAATATCACGCCAAAGCCCTAGGAACGATACCTTTAAGTTAGCATCCTCTTCAACGCTCTCTTCCAACCCAGCAAGTCCACCAAAAGCAATCAATAGATGCCTGCCAAAATATTCATTCAGTCAATTAACAAGTATCTAATTTCACATTTGCCTCATGCTCAAAAAGTTTCATAATATAGTTGGAAGTAGTAATACTAGAAAGATATTAAGTGTCGAAAACTAAAAATCAAAGGAAATCTGATATATTTCTCAAAAAACTGAAGGTTAAAAAAGGGTGGTGCTATCCACACACACCCCTTTTTACCTTTCACACGCCCTTCCCGGTTTCCGGCCATCAAATCGAATGAATTGAAGAAGATCAATGAACAAAAATTAACAAGTGTGTGAGGGGTAAAAAGGGGTGTGTGAATAGCATTACCCTAAAAAAAAGTCAAAATACCCATGATGTTTTAAACACAACTGAATACAGTCAACTATTCAAATAAAAAAAATATGACTGGAAGCTTGTCAGTAATTGTCTTACGTACAATTTTCATTTTCTGTTTAATGCAACTTTACGGATAAAATATTGTAATAGAGATGAAATGGTTGTCCTCAGGCCAATCTCTGAGAAGGGCGCCAGGCAACCTTACTTAACCAGAAAACTAAAGAACCCACATAAGGTAACAATTTAAGCATCTACAGAAAAGAAATGGAAGGAGGAAGGGGGCGGAAGGGCATCGTGTTATATTCTACATATCCCTAAAAAGAATGTGCATCTAGAATGAGGTTAACAGATTGAAAGAAGTTGAAATTCCATCCCGGGTACATCAAGAGCCTGCCCAATAACTAAGCAATCTAGTCAATGAATAAAAACTACAATAGGCATCTATCAAATTACAACATACAGAAACACAGCTGCCTTCAGAAGCTACCAGTTACCCAGAGAATGCAAAATGCACAGCATCTAATGAACACAATGTTATTAATGGTTAGTACGTTCAGAGAAAAGTACCTGAAAGTAGGTACAGTGAGCTCAGAGGAATTAATAATCTGACCGTGCTCTGAGGTACCAATTGAATGGTCATAGCCACCCTGTGATTTTATAACAAAGTTGATAAAGAAACACCATATCTGAATGATTAACAAGAAACCATGTATTTACGGGAAGGGGTCCGGGATGGGGAGAGAGAGAGAGAGAGAGAGAGAGAGAGAGAGGATCATAGGGTCAATGCATGAGTACCTTGTATGGGCATTCATTCATGACTGAAGTAATATTAGAAGCATAGCGCACTTTGTACCCCCAATATGTTCCTGCTTCTTCCCTAGGCTTGGAGGATGAGACAACCTGGCGTGATATATCTAGATCAATGCAATAGAAAGAAGCCAATACCCACGTAAGATTCATAGTCAATAGTAAAGCCTCCGTTAATGGTTGAGAAAGAAAACAGAAAAGGCCAGAAAACAAATTCAGGACAGATTCATTACCAGCATCCAAGTTCCAACTGGCTCCCATAGCCACAGTAACTCTTGTTCCAGGATCAAGTACTTGATCAACAATGACATTCTGCATATTTCATCACTAAATCAACCAATGGCCAAGTCTTGAGAGGTGAAGGCGAGGAAGAAACTATCAAGCAATAACCCTTGTTACTGTAAACTAGAATTGGAGGAAGTACCTTACTCAAGCCCACATCAACTAGTGTTCCCACAAGGTTGGGAGGTCTTTCTTTCAATGTGACACCTATACATTTATCGCACACTCTCAAAGTTATGGCCATATGTCTAAAGACTCGGAACAGAAAGCACAAACAACCAAACAAAACTACATAGTACAATCCCATCATCCCATGTATAGTCGGAAGTCTGAACCATTTCATTTATCATGTTGGTTCTTGTTTAATATCTTGAAAATTGTCATCGTCGGTATACACAAATATAGTCAGACAAGTTTTTGTCTTCCAGAAAAGTCATTATTTCAATATCACAAGAAGTCTTAAAATCCACCCATTGCACCTTACCTTCCCGAAACAGACCCCATTCATGTTTGCGCAGATGGTGCGGAGCATCAAGCGGGGGTAACATGCCCTGTCAAAGCAATGTAAGTCGAGGTATAAGCTGAAAATCAACAACAACAACATCGTATGACATATGAGCGAGGAACTCACCACAAATCTTAGGCTGTTGTGTTTTGGAAATAGAGGTTTTCTCAAATACTGAGGTGTCTCAAGGTACCTCAAGATTCGTACAAGAAAAGCAGCACCGCTTTCATTCTCATCTGAATCAGCTTGTGGCAATGAGCCAGACTCACTCTTATTGTCAAATATCACCACCTGTTTATACAATAATCAACTACAAAGTAAACAAATATGCTCATTTATACATCAAATGATATAACTAGGGGCCCGTTTGGGATTGCTTCTATAGAAACCGCTAATGCTCACGAGCGCTTTTGTTAAAAGTGCTTTCATTTATAAACAAGTTGAAATTTTTGTTAAAAATCCAAGTGAATTTCCACCTCGAAAGTGCTCCTGAAGAAGCATTTCACAGGTACTTCTCCAGAAAGCGTCCTCTGAGCCACAAGCACTTCCACCAAACGTATACAGAAGCACTTTTGGCAGTCAAGAAGCGCTTGTATCCCTTACCGAAGCAATCCAAACAGAAACCTCAAATTTTGATAATCACATAGTTCAAATAAACAAGTATTAAAGATAGAAACCTCGTCGATTCGGAAAATCGTCGCGGCACGAGCAATCTGACTGGCCAACTGAGAAGTATTTGGTAATAAACATAATTAATTAATTAGAAAAAATGAAGAGGAAGTGAAACGAGAGCAATTATCTGTTTGGATGGAGAGAAAATATACTCGGGTGGCGAGTTCGAGGGATTGAGTGTTGTCGATGATTGAACCGGGGACGGCTACGCTCACGGAAGGTATCACGGCGGGTCGGTCGAATTTGTGCTTTTTCTTCTTCTTATCTTTCTGATGAGGGTCGCCATTCACAGCGTCGACTTTGTTCTCTTCTGGTTGTGCTTCTGCTTCTGATTCGGCTCTCTTCTTCTTCTTCCCCATTTCTGTTCGACGTGGTCCTTACCAAAGCCTTTACGAGGGTTTTTGAGAGTTTAGGGTTTTTGGTTCAGAAAAAATAAATTTGTAAAAAGAGTTTGGGTAAATGGGAAAAATTCATAAATCTCGTTTGGACTACTGTAACCCCTTTTAGAGAATGTTTGATTGGTAGTACTTTTAAAATTGCTGAAACAGTTTTGATGAAAATATTTTTTAAATCAATTCTTATTAAAAATGCAAGTGAATTATAAAAAAAATATTTGAATAGCTTTTTACAAGAAGCACATAATTCGTGTTTTTTTACAGGAAGCACTGCAAGTGCTTTTGAAAGTCAAAATATTTTTCTCAAAAACGCTTTCAATTATTTAAGTGCACTTCCAAATGAATTTAAGTGATTTTGGAGTAGGTGGTGTGATTAAGAATTTCTTTGGTTCTTGGCATGTGCAAGGGCTGTTTTAGCATTGCAGAAATTATTTTAAAAGCGGTTTTTTATAAAAGCTGAGGCTAAAACAGAAAACTCTACCTTTGCTTTTAAAAATAGTGTTTTTTCACAGCACAGCAACCTCAAATTAGATCTTTAAGTGCTAACCTTAGCCGTGTTGAGGTTCTCCTTGTAAAATTTGGGGCATATTCTTGGGTCTGCAACTAGTTTGTAACAAAGGGATTCTTTTGACTTTTGGTGGAATCTGATTAAGTTCTCGTTGTCTACTTGATCTTGCGAGGTGTGAGTGACAACCATCTTCTTGGTAAATTGGTGTAGGCTTGCCATGAGTTTTTATGCATGAATGAAATTGTGTATCAATCTTGTTTATCGTAAAATAAATTTTGTAGTTGATGAACGGGCTAACTTGAGTTTATCATATTCTCTTAGTCCGATTTGTTTTGAACAAGCTCTTATCTCTTGCCGACACCTTCTAGTGACAAATGTTGTTGAACCTCTAGGCCTCATGATGTTTTATAATAGTTTATCTTTGTTGGTCATTTAGCCCCATTGTTAACCCAAAAACAAAGCCAGAATTTTAAGTGCTAATTTGGGATTGCTATGCTTAGGAAAGAAAAAAAATTGTTTTTGTGGTGCTTTTAAACTGTGAAATGAAATAGGTAGTGTTTGATAAATGATAGTTATAAAAATGCTTTTAGTAAAAAAACAGTGTTTTAGTGTGTGTTGAACTTTTATGCAAACTTATGTGCCTTCATAAAATGACAAAAAAAGGCATGATAAAAACAAGAATGGTGAACAAAATATATGTGATGTCACGACCCCTAGTGTAACAACAAACACACATTTAACTTTGAAATTGCACATTAGTGGCAATGAGCGTTTACACCTTTATTCACGGATATGTTTTTCTTATAAACTTAAAAAAGAAATGTTGAATCCCACGTCAAAAAACCGTAACATTATGTTTAGATGAAGAAATTTAAGATTACTTAAGAATTTTAGAATGATGGTAGTTGAAATAACAAAATTTTATTTTCTAGAATTTGTAAATTTTCTTATTTGGTTAACCTAAAAGAACAACGGAATTGAATATGGAATTTGTTATTTTTAAACTCTCAATTATAGAAATTGGGAAATGACACCTATTTACATGGAATTTAAACTTGGAAATTGGAGGTCCCAAATTCCAAGTTTTTTTTCTATGCAGAAATTCTAAATTTCTATGTTTATAAAGCCAAACAAAGGAATTGGTGCATGTCAATTTGTAAATTTTGACTTTTATTTAAATTATAAATTTATTTCCCTTGTTTAAACATAATGTAAGCGTTAAAAGCGTCACATAACAGTATATAATTAGACATTTGCTCGTGTACTCGTTGATATTAGATTTAGGTTAAATACTCTAACTATATTATATATTTATATAAACTGATTAACTAATTTTAATTTTTTTTATACATTAATATTTTACCAAATATCAATGGATGCAAAATATCTCTATCATTTAAAATTAAATCTAAAATATTAGCATGTAAATAATATTGGCGATATACCTTTCTATATAAATGGGACATCCCACATCGTCCAGGGGAGTGATCCTTATATGTATATTCTCATCCTTACCTAACACGAGGCTTTTTGGGAGCTTACTGGCTTCGGGTTCCATGAGAACTCCGAAGTTAAGCGAGTAGCGCACGAGAGCACTCCTAGGATGGATGACCCATTGGTAAGTTCTCGTCTGAGTTCCCAGAAATAAAATCATGAGGACGTAGTTGGAGCCCAAAGCGGACAATATCGTGCTACGGTGGTGGAGCGGGCCCGAAAAATGGTCTCCCGAACCGGGATGTGACATAAAGGCCATATAGAAAATATTGGCGATATACCTTTCTAAATAATATTAGCATGTAAATAATATTAGCGATATACCTTTCCACATAAGGTGTCAAATATTACACCTTAGGTACATTTTCCATCTATATTCAATTTTCTTTTTATAAATTATAACCATTTTTTTTTTAATAAATTAAAATCATTTTTTGCATTTCTGTCCACACCTCACCACCAAGCATTCATCTTAAAATTACTTGTTCTTGCTTAATCCAGTTTGGAAGAAGAAACGTTGTGTTTCTTAATACATTCAAGAATGTCTAAGGCAGCTGCATCTTTCACCACAAATCCTCCCAATTCGGTAATAAACAAATTACAACTATTTCAGAATACAGTATTACTTCTCAGATAATACTTAAGTTCTCGCTAATGAGTACTTTATGTACTCACTTTTAAATCCAATAAAAAATAGCCACATGTTTCTCGTTTTTCAAAGCTCAAGAAAAATAAAAAATGTGTCCATTATTTTTTAAAATAATAAAATATGTGGTACAATATCATTGGCCAAATCAAAAGTTGAGTAGTCACCAAGTGAGTACCTAAATATTATTCTTACTTCTAATGGTTAATAGATGTTGATTTTTTTTGTTTGTTATTTTTTATTTTTTATTTTTTATTTCTTAATGAAAGCGAAGAGTGCATGCATATTGCATATATAAATTTGGCATTTGAGGCACATGATAAATGTTTTGGAGGCTCTCTCAGAAGTTGGACTATTCATGAATCATATTTGTCACTTCATATTTTTTACACAATGTTTCATAAAATTGACATGAAAATTGACGTTAATTGTGAAGTAACAAAGAGTCCTTAGAGAGTCACATTTTAAAAGTTTCCTTAGCATTTCTTTATATGTAAATGTTTTTCTCGCAATATTTACGTAGATATCATTGTTATACATTAAGTTTTATGTAACCACTGCGAGACGTAAAATTTAATTTAATGTTTATTACTATATATATCTGTCTTAAAAGAGCACACGTAGCTCCCATATATTTTTATTTTTCAGTTAATTTGACTCTACTCATGTCAGTGTGATAACACTTTATTAACTTGACCTACATACCTGACCACGTAGAAACTCTGTCAACAATCAATTGTCTTGTGATTTAGGTTGAAAATACTTTTAGTTGAACCCAAATTGGTCCAAAGCAGGCAAGTGGTGGGTGTGAAATAAGGAGGCTTGGTAAACTGACACCTCTGCCACTTATCCCCCACGGGCCCTTCTCACTCACATTCCTTTCCGTGTGACAAAATTAAATACCATGCACATGCATTCTTTATTTTAACTATTATTTATTTGCCATTCAATATTAATGTTCTAAAAAACGGTTTAGGCGATCGTTTAGGCGCTGGACGGTAATGACCTAAGACGTTTTCTTGCAATCGGTTGAAAAAATCGGTTGGGCTCTAAGCGGCCCTAGACGGCTCTAGGCAGCGCCTAAGCAGGCTAGGTGGCTAGGAGGTTTTTTTTTTTTTTTTTTTTTGAAATTAAAAAAAAAAAATCCTATCTACATTACTATATTTTCTTATTTTTCCTCCTATTTTGCATTTTATGTGGTTTTAAGTTATGAACTTATTATACATGTGTCTGTAGACACCGAAATTTCAGTGAAATAAATGTTAACCAATGTATTAAAATTACAACATTTATTCATTTCACTTACATCACACATTCATTTCACCTACATTACACATTTACTTCACCTACCAACTCCACTCATTTCACCAAAAAAAATGGATGGTGGTGATTCACTCTCTTGGCCTATAAATAGCCTTCTCCATCAAGAGAAAAAAAAGAAAGAATTTTAGAAACCTACACCAAAACCTTGAAGCCTTGAAACTCTAAAGCTCTCAAGAAAATCCCAAAGGATCAAGAAAACACTTTTCGTTCTTCGTCAAATCCTCCTTCAAGGTCAAGCCTCAACGGCCCTTGAAGAACTTCCACCGACTCAAGATCAAGCCCCGACGGCCCCTTGAAGAAAGTGTTCATCATTCATCATCCGTTCATCCTAAGATCAAGCCCCAACGGCCCTTTGGATCAACAATCTCAACAAACCTATACACCCATTCTTCAGGTTCAAGCCCCAACGCCCCTTGAAGATCCATTCATCAACTGTTCATCCCTAGATCAAGCCCCGACGGCCCTTTGGATCAACAGCTCATCCACAAACCTACACCCTACGAAGATAGAATCAGAGGATCCAATTACAAAGAGATTGTAATCCTAAAAATCATTAATACAAAAATATTATTTTTGTACACGTACTCTTGTTTCTTGTTTCAGGAATTTTTCGTGTTTACAAACTTGGCACGCCCAGTGGGACATCTCTACCTCTCATCTCTATCCTCAAATCATCGAAAAACGCCAATGGCATCAAGAAAGGATCAAGTTATTCCTGCAATCAAAGCAAAAAACAAGAACATCATCGCCGCAAGTGGTGATATTTCGGGCATCACAACCCGAAGTAAGGCAAAAGCTCTTTTTGCCGCAGCTTCCGCCCCTGCATTAACTCTGTCAAAGGAACAAGAGCACCTGAGGCACGAGCCTGTGATCACCCTAGCCTCGCTAAGGGCGTCAAGAGGAGAGAGCCCGAGGAAATACTCAGAGTCCCTACTCTCCGACGCTGATTCGAGCGGCAGTACAACCATGCAAGTCATGACCACTGGAGCAACTTCAATCGAGGATCAGCTAGCTCAGATGAATGAAGCAATCGCAAAGCTCACACAGACTGTGGAAGAAAAGGACTTGTAGA